CTTAAAGCGTTCCACAGGGACCAATGGAAAGTCTCCCTCTTAGGTTGGAGAAATCACCTTCATAAGCACCGTTAGACCAGAGTTCTGAAAAAGATCTGGGTCTGCTGGTCAAGTAGCGGCAACCCCAAGCCTCATGGGCTTGGGAACCCCCTGGAATAGAGAGGTGGGGGTGCTAGTATGCTGTTCCCTGATCAGACTCCATCTAGAGGGCTGTATTCAGTTCTGGGGGCCGGCACTGAGGAAGGACCTTGGTGAGTGGGGGAGAGTCCAGAGGAGAGCAATTAAGAGGGAGGGGGGCCTGGGGATGGGAAGAGAAAGGAAGGGAAGAAGCCTTTACAGAGCCCCTCCTAGGTGCCAGGCACTGTGCTGAGCACTTGACAAGGGTTATCTTACTGGATCCCTCACAACAGCCTGAGAGGGAGATGCATTATCATCCTCATTTTACAGCTGAGGAAACTGAGGCAAATAGAGGGTAAGTGACTTTCCCAGGGTCACATGCTAAGAAGTAAGTGAGGCTGGATTTGAACTCAGGCCTTCCTGACCCCACTGTGCCTGTGCATCACAGACAGGAGAAGCCTCAAGGGCTACATGTGAGCTTGTCTTCAAGTATCTGTGGGACTGTCATAAAGGGATCTGATGGATTCCCTTTGGCCTGATAGCCTGGGATAACAAGAGGAGTGGCAGGAAACTTTACAGGCTTAAATCACAAAACAAATGTTTTCTTGATTGTTAGTGCAAAAATGCCAGATGTTTTGTGTAAAAGGAATGATTTCCCCCCACCAAATGTCAAGACAAAAGGCACAAAAAAGGAAATTCCCAGGTGATGGGGCAGAAAAAATTAAGTAAATCAATGTATTTTCTAGAAAAACCAACTCAATGATTTAATTTTCAATTTTCAGTAACTAAGCAGCCTTGGGAGGTCCCAGGAAGTATAATTTGGTGCCCTGAATAGACTCTACCCACATCTTTAACAAAAAGTGTGATAAAATATCATCTCTTGAAATTTTTCCTGGCAGATGTGTTATTGAAATGGGCACTCTGGACCACAAAGGTTAGTGGACAAAGATGCAGAAAGATCGTACTTCCCTGAGCACATTTTTGCTGACTTCCTCACAAGGAAAGCTGCCTGAAAACTGAACGCATGAACTTCCAGGTGCTGGGTGCTGCCTCCCCAGAGGTCCACCAGAAGAGGACATTAGGTGAGTTGGTGAGATGTTGTGAGGACCCCTCCCCAACTTGGCTATTTGGTAATTAACAAGTAGACCACCTCCCCTTCCTGCTCCTCCCGCAATGACTGGGCCGGAGGTCTTTGCTTAGTTAGGCATCTTCATGATGAGCACTGTGATGATCTAACCCCGGGGTAGACAGAGTCAACAGGAGCAAAGCAGGCTTTCTACCCAAGTTGTCCTGGGGCCTTAAGTGAAACTCCTCCCTCCTTTACTCAGGGCTTCCCTCCTTTTACCTATTTGCACCCCCCACCCACCCCAGGCAGGGGCCTCCTGGCTTGGACTGGTAGTCAGCCTGAAGGCAAGTGTGCTTTAGGGATGACGGAGGGACCAGGGATATCAGGAGATGGCTAGGACCGTGAGCATGGACCAGCCTCTGCCAACAGTAAGGTCTCTCTCTGACTTCCCCCTCCCCCCAGCTCCTCAAGGAGTAGCCCCGCTGGGGCTGCAGGGACTTTGTTCTAATTGGCTGCATGGTGTGGTCACACCTGGGCAGCTTGGGGAATCAGGACCCAAGAGGTGCCAAGCTTCAGTAGAAAAAAATCACCTTGTGCACAGTGAAGGCAGAGGCCAGTCAAACCGTGGCACATGGTCTTCCTTCCATCCCGCCCTTCTGATCCCCAAACACCACATCAGGATTGCCAGCCCACTTTTCACCAAAGAAGCAGGGCATTTAGGGTTAGAGTTCAGGTGACCCCGGCCTGGGCTGAAGAGAGTGCCAGTGTCTGTCACTGCTGTGGCTGGAGCGCAGCAGGTAAGGTGTGGGCCAGGTCTCTGGCCCCTTCCTGCTTCCTCTCTAACAAGAGGTGTAATGGGACCCCTCCCCCACTGCACATCTCCTCTGCTGGGATAGCCGAGGCTCCCATGTGCCACAGGGGAGATGTGAGAGTTTCTGTCCTGGTATTAGAGCTGGGCTCTGTTTCCCTCACAGCATGCCTGTTCCAGAACTCCTGTCTGTCTGTCCACTTTGCTCACATTCCTTAGCAGCTCTCAGCATCACAGGTTCTGAATCATTCCCAGGGCAGTCAGCAATGTACTGCTCCTGCTTGGTCAGTCTAGAAAGAAAGTGGTCCATGGCTACCCAGTGATGGAGGGGAAATGCAGGGGCAGTGTTTATGTGGATGGTGAGAGGAACTGCAGGAAACAGAGAGGTTTCTCTTTTCCTCCCCTGCCCGTGCCCAAGCCCTGGGCTCCACAGGGTCCCAGTCCCAAATGAACTGTCAGGAAGCTGTGCTATTGATTTCTGGGAGGGTGGCTAGCCACAACTCTGGGGACTGAGGTGGGGTTGAGATTGGGTCATCAACGGCCACCCACAAGGAAAGAAGGAACTGGGAATGTTCATAGACTTTAGGCCCTGGCTGCGGGTGAGGGCTGTGCTTGGGAAGCCCCCAAATGGAGGTTGGTTCAGAAGGAGAGAGGAAGTCACCAAAGGACTTGGAGGAAGAAAGACGGTGACAAGTCCCAGGTCAGGTCCAGCCATGACAGCTCCCCTGTAGGGATGCCGAGAGCCCTGGGTCTGCAGTCAGAGGGCTCAGGCCACAGTCCCAGCTCTGCTTGGGCATCCCTTCTCTGGAAACAAACTGGCAGGGCCTCTCAGGTCCCAGTCAACTGAATCCAGGACCCTCTGACCTTTCTCTGTCCCTCTTCTCACTCCTTCACTGTTTCTCCTCTCCTCTGCTGGCTGGGACCTGAGGAGAATGGGGGGCCCAGTGTGGTCATGTCTGGCTGGAATGAAGAGCAGTTGCCCTTGGGAAGGCTGGAAAGGCAGGCTCTAGGAGCTATGGGGGATCGGAAGGCCTATTCTTAGAGCTCAGGTGTCAGGGAGAGAGTAAAAGGCTAGCAAAGCTCATTGGCCACAAAGACCTTTGGGATGGAATGTCCAAAGATCTTTGTCCTCATTCTGCAGACACAGAAGCTAAAGCTCAGAGAGACTTTTTTTTTTACATAGCTGTTCACATCTGTGCTTTCTCCTTTACTGAAGGTGACAAGGTATTTGTACACAGGTGAGAGTCAGGCTGTGAACCCAGATCTTCTCGAAGATAATTAGCTGTCACACAGTGCACAGTCAAGTAGAGAGGGGAGAGTCAGGAGGCAGCAAGTTCTAATGGCTCCATAGTGGTCAGCTGGGTGGCTTCAGGGAGACTCCTCGGTTGCTTGGATTTGGGGGGAGGGTCAGGAAAAGGGAGGCGTGAACCTGGGTGCCCAGAGGATGGGGGAGGGGTGGTGCTGGTGGTGGTCAGGGCTTTTCTATTTCCAGTTTCTTCAAATTATGTATCTCTAGGATAGATGGATGGATGAATAATTGAGTAGGTAGAAAGATGAATAAAGGATGGATGGCAGGCAGATAAGTAGGAAGCTAGGACGACAGACATGCAGACAGACAGAGATCCTCAGAGAGGAGGCAGATGCCCAGGTCCCCTCTGAAAGGGACCTCCTGATCTCCACCTGCTGGACCCACTCTAAAAGCCAGTGCACACTACAGTGTCATGAATTTGGACCTTCTTTCTTGTTAAGGAGAATTACATGTTGGCTTCAGGTGGAAAGCTGTGCCTGAGGTGAAATCAGTAGAGTGCCCCAAAACAAGACAGAACCCCCTCCCCCTGCCCAGATCCGATCGATGCCTGCCCACCCCCCTCCCCAGCTTGATTCAGCTGTCTGGAATTCCTTTTTAACTTCTTTGTGGTAAGACTTCAAGTAGATGGAAATGGCCTGAGGGCAGGGATTGGGGCTTTCTCTGGCACAGCAGGGGGTGCTCCTGCACCTGGGCATAGTTTCAACTGGGGCAAAAACAATTCAGGGGTGTGTTCGTGTATGTGTGTATGTACATGCGGGTGTGCATTCATGTGTGTGTGTGCAGACCACAGGCCAGCAGAAGTGTGATCACACTAGCTAGGGTCCAATTTTCCCCCATGGGTGCAGGGATGGGGGAGGGGGTGAGGACCCTGGAGGTGTGTGCAGAAGACCGTCATGAAAGGCAGATATGGTGAGCATGAAGTCCAGCTCCAGCTGTGCCCCTAGGAAGGCAGCATCTTGACCCCACCCACACAAAGCCCTATGCCATTTGGCTAGGAGGAGCTTCTTCCCTAGGTGACTCTGTTAAACCCAAATGTCCAGCCCCTCAACTTTCCTGAAGCTTAGGAATTTTATATCATCACCCTAATACATCCCATAGTACTTTAAGTTAGGGTTGTTGTGGCCTGGTCATGCCTGATTCTTCTTGACCACAGGGACCATGCTGTCCATGGGTTTTCTTGGCAAATACACTGGAGTGGTTCACCATTTCTTTCTCCGGTGGATTAAGGCCCATGGGGTGAAGTGACTTGAGTGGGGCCACACAGCTAATCGTTGTCTGAGCCCAGATTTGAAGTCAGGTCTTCCTGACTCCAGTGAGCTACCTAGCTGCCTCCTAGGTGAGGGTTAGCTTTCCTTAAAATGACCTGGGAAGCAGGTAATGGCTTGTTTTCTCCTTTCACAGATAAGAAAGCAGAGTCTCTGAGAGGGTAGGTGACTTGCTATAGATCACAGAGCAGGTAAGGCCCACCTTGGGAGAAGCAGAGACCAGGCACAGGGAACAAATGATCCTTGGTCAGACCTCATGGAGTGTCATTCTGGAGCAGCTGGATCTGACTTCTTGAAAGAGGTGTCTATTTGCCCAGGGGTCTACTCTTCCTTGTGCTTTATGACCCAGCTTTGTTCCTTGGCAACAAGGTCAGGAGAGGCAGCAGGTAGAGGAAAGCTGGCCTTCAAGGCAGAAAGACCACTGCCTGTCCCGGCTGGGGGACCTTGTGCCCCAAGAGACTGTCTAGGAGGGGAGCTGGCAGGAGCCAGCATACATCAGGGGAGCAAGGCTGGGGCTCTCTGGAAGGTTTCTCTCTGAGCATCTCTCTGCCTCTGTCCCACTCTATCTTGAGGTGGTGTTTTTCAGACTCAGCTGTCCTCAGCCCTACCACAGAATGAGGGGAGAGAATGTGACCCACATCAGGGAATTCATCCTTGTGGGCTTCCCCACGGCCCCATGGCTTCAGTACCTGCTCTTTCTGCTCTTCCTCCTGGCTTATCTCTTTGTCCTGGCAGAGAATGCCACCGTCATCCTTGTGGTCTGGACCAGTGCTGCCCTCCACAAGCCCATGTACTACTTTCTGGCAAGCCTGTCCTTCCTGGAGGTTTGGTATGTTTCCAACATCCTCCCCAAGATGCTGGACAGTTTCCTCTCCCAGCAGAGGAGTATCTCCTTCGCGGGCTGCATGACACAGCTCTACTTCTTCAGCTCTCTGGTGTGCAGTGAGTGTGTCCTTCTCGCCTCCATGGCCTATGACCGCTACGTGGCCATCGGCCACCCCTTGCGCTACTCAGTCATCATGACCACTGGCCTCTGTGTATGGCTAGTGGCTTTCTCCTATGCTAGTGGCTTCACCATCTCCATGATTAAAGTCTATTTCATCTCCAGTGCCACATTCTGTGGCTCCAATGTTATGAACCACTTTTTCTGTGACATCTCCCCCATCCTCAAACTGGCTTGCACAGACTTCTCCACAGCCGAGCTGGTGGACTTTGTCTTGGCTTTCGTCATCCTGGTGTTCCCACTCATTTCTACCATGCTGTCCTATGGACACATCTGCATGGCAGTGCTGCAAATCCCCCTCCTCCACCGGCCGCTGGAAAGCCTTCTCCACCTGTGCCTCCCACCTCACAGTGGTGGTCATCTTCTACACAGCCATGATCTTCATGTACGTCCGTCCCCAGGCCATTGACTCTCAGAGCTCAAATAAGCTGATTTCGTCCGTCTACACAGTCCTGACTCCAATTGTGAACCCTCTCATCTACTGCCTGAGGAACAAGGAGTTCAAGGGCAACCTCAAAAAGAGCTTGTTCAAGGCCCAGGCTCAAGGGGAGGAGCCAGCCCTCCACTATTAGAGGCATTATGTGACCCAGGACCCCAACTCAGCCACATTAGCTAACTAGCAGAACCACAGTGATGATAGAGGTCCTGGTGGTGCTGCACACAAGGGACAGGCAGGCGAGGGTTGGGTCAAGGGCCAGGGATGAACATGGAGTTAGATTTCTGGTCTGTCCTCTCTCTGTCCTTCCTGTCATCTGTGGGCCATTGTCTTCACTTAGGTAGTGACTTTGGTTTCTTTCTCTCTTGCCCATTATTCTCAGGGTACCATCCCAGACCATCAGATTTGGAAGGGCCCCTGAGGACCATCTACTCCAACATGCAACCTAACAAAGTTTCCTTTCTGTAACACACCTGATACACACCACCTTCAGCCACCATGTATAAGCGATCAATAGAGACCTTTTCCTTACCCGCAGAGCAGGGGCTCCTTCTTCCCTTTTCTTGTCTGAAGCTGGAGAATTTCCCCAGAGCTTCTGACCTCTGTTCACTGTGCTGAGTATTTATTGTTAATCTTGATTCATTTTGGTAAAGCACTCATCCTCCTTGTTTGGTTTTTTGGTTTTGCCAAGTATGATTGTAAATGCTTTCCAAGTGTTCTAAGGGGTAGAGGGGGCAGCTCTGAGGAGGTTTATGTTGCATAAAATGTATAAATACAATCCCACTTCCACACAAACCTGGGGCAGTTTCCCTGAAGCACAACCCCTCAGATTTTATGGACACTTTAGAGAAGAAGTCTGCAAAAGGTCTCTGAGGGGCAAGTGTAGACTTTTGAATGACAAACTGGGGATCTCTCCAGAAATGCAGACACAGGAGGAAATCAGCCCTCCTCATGGTTCTGAATTCCTGTGTTTGCAACCTCAGAGAGGGCTAAGAGCAGAGTCCACCTCTGCCTCTCACTCCCTTGACAACTGCTTTGATTTGTTGCTTCGTTGATTGTCTAGACTTCAGAAGGGGCAGCGAGGTGATGCAGTGGATGGAGCAGCCTGCCTGGAGTCAGTCATCATCCTGAACAATAACAACACACTTAAAAAAGTGTTTAAAATTCATCTTAAATTAAAGAGTATGTGTGGCACACCCCCATCTTGCTCTTTCCACATTGCTTGAGTTGAGCAGTAGAAGGCTCAGTAAATGAAGTCATCACCAGTCTGGAGGCCTGGCAAGTATTTGAGTCATGTCTGACTCTTTGTGACCCCATTTTGGGGTTTTCTTGGCAGAGATACCGGAGTGGTTTGCCATTTCCTTCTCCATCTCATTTTGCAGATGAGGAAACTGAGGCAAACAGGGCTAAGTGACTTGCCCAGGGTCACACAGCTAGTAAGTGTTTGAGGCCAGATTTGAACTAAGGATGATGACTGACTCCAGGCAGGTTGCTCTATCCACTGCACCACCTCACTGCCTTCTGGGGACCATAGACTAATGGTGATAATAATAATCATCATTTACATATCCTTTTAAGATTTTCAAAGGGCTTTGCATACATCATCCCATTTCAGCTTCACAGCACCCTTGCTCCATCACCCCCTATCTCCATTCTCTGTAGCTCTGGTTTGTTTTGTGTTTTCTTAACCCTTCTTCCTAAGTCAAAGGGCCTGTTGACTCTGATATGGTCTAGGGGCTGCACTAATCTTTGATTTTCTCTGATTTCTCATTACTATTTACTAGGTATTCCTGACAGTCTTTCTGTAATCAGCATTTGGTGGGTGGGAGCTAAGTGTACCCTCCCCTAGAGAGCAATCAAGGAAAACCACTTTTAGTTGGAAGCCACTACACCCTCCGCTATAGGTATTGGCTGTGCGATAGATAGAACTTGAGCTTGCTACACGTTTGGTGCATATGACAGTGACTGCTCTGATGCTCACTGCCTGTAAGCCAAGTATGTGACATGTTACCCTTCCCCAAGGGTTTTCCAGTACTCTGAAGGGGTCTCTCCACCATTGGCTCCAAACCTCTATGATGGATTTTCTCAATTTTGTGGTGTCCCCTGCAATCCAGTTCCATTTAACCACTTAAGAATTGGATTAGCTTTTATAAAGGAATATTTACCTCAAAGTTATAATAAGAAAAAAAACAAACATCCTTCCTTAAACACTTAGGGGCATAATTTATTCTCCCTTCCCCCCCAATATCCTACACCACCACCTCATATTTGGGGAAGGGAAGAGAATTAGGTTCACAGATCGGCTCAGTTCTAATATATCACAGACTCACCTTCCAAATCGAAAGTGCCCTTGGGCTTGAGTCCCCAGGACCCTGGCATTTCAGGGCTTCCCCACTGAGTTGGCTGGCTTTAACATCAATCCTAGAATCCTAGCTCCCTAAATTCATGGCTGGCACTCCTGAGTCCAGTGGGGATTCCACCCCCCACGTCTAGCACCAAAAAGGACAAATGAAATAATAAAACAAACCCTAAAGCCCATTTTTTGGGGCCATGGAGTAGATGGGAAAGTGAAAGGAGAAGGTGGCCCTTTCCACCTCACCAGCTCAGTTCATGGTACCAATGCTGTGGGTGAATTTGGATTTTCACTATCTCCAGACACTGTAGGTAAGAGAGGATAACTGTCCCAGTCTGGCTATACAGCCAATCAAAAGAGGCTATTCATATGGTAGGGGAACACAGTTTGTCTTTTCCCAGAAGTAGGGTGCTTTCATATTAGGTGTTATGGGCATGCACAAAGCCATGCCAAGCCAACCCTGGTTACATATACAAGAGAGGAAAGGAGAGCTCACCTTCCCGTGGATCCCACCTGCCCCTTTCCTCCCAGGCTGCTGCTGGTGCCAATAGGGACCTCTTCCTACTCTCCACAAAGATGGAAATTGCTATCTTGTTGGAGAGCGGTCCAGATCCTAGACCTCATCTAATCTTTTTTTCTTAACCTCTTAATATAAAGTTATTTATTTTTAGCTTTCAACATTCACTCCCACAAGTTTTTGAATTCCAAATTTATACCCCATCTCCCCCCTCCTCCCACCCCGAGATGGCATGCATTCTGAATATCCCTTCCCCTAGTCTGTCCTCTCTTCTGTCTCTCTTCCCTTCTCTTATCCCCTTCCCCTTCTATTTTCCTGTAGGGCAGGATAGACTTCTGTACCCCATTTCCTGTATTTCTCATTTCCCAGTACCATGTGAAAACATTTTTTTTAAACATATGTTTTTAAAACTTTAGGCTTCAAATTTTCTCTGTTCCTCCCTCACCACCCACACTCATTGAAAAGGCAAGCAACTCAATATAGGTTGTACATGTGCAGTTATGCAAAACACATCCATAGTAGACATGTTGTGAAAAACTAACTCTATTTCCCTTAATTCGATCCTGCCCTCCCATTTATTCTATTCTTTCTTTTGACTCTGTTCCTCCTCAGAAGTATTTACTTCTGATTACTCCCTTTCCCAATCTGTCCTCCTCTCTATCATCCCCCTACTCTCCTATCCTCTTTCCCTCTATTTTCCTGTAGGGTAAGATAGATTTCCATACCCAATTGAATGTGTTTGTTATTCCCTCCTTAAGCTAGATCCTATGAGAATAAGATTCACTCATTCTCTCTCACCTTCCCCCTTTTCCCCTCCACTGTAAGAGACTTTTCTTTTCTTTTTTTTTTTTGGTGGATCTCATCTAATTTTGCAAAACACATTTCAGATGTATCGGTACATTGGAAAGCTACCAATCACGTTAGCCAAGGAAGTGGTGAGTAGAGACTAGCTGGAGGCATATTTTATGAGCCATTTTCCTCTATATGAAACATATAGTATGAAACATAGTAACCCTTTTTCTTTCTGTCTGCCCCTGAAATCATGAGCCTGGTTTTCATTTCTATTGGTAGTAATTACCTAGTGTGGCTCCCTTCATGGTGAGCCTCAGAGGCTAGGCAGTTCCTCTATTCTCAGTTTCCAGAGAGAAAAGTAAGGATGCTTCCCTTCTGGAAACAGGAGGATCTGATCCCTCTCCTTAACCCACTTGGTCCCCACTCTCTCTACTCCTCTTCTCCATCAAGGGTTGCAGATTACCCAACCCATGCTGCAGACAGAGGGTTACTGTTTTTTTTAAAAACCGGAAGGCAATCTGGTCCTCCTTTTTTTTTAATCCTCTCTGGGGGAGCTTAAGGAACTACAGATCATTGATAAAATATTGCGAATAGTGCTTGAGCTTTTGAAGCCAGATTTGAACCCAGGTCTTCCTGACAGCCAGCCCAACGCTCTCTCCATTGCACCATCCAACTGCCTTTCTAGGAGCTCCCATGGAAAAGTTGGCTGGCAGGATGTGGAGCAGATGGAAATATGGAGGAGGGCGTCGTGTCCAGGTTAGGACAAGTCTTTCCAATGCTACCTCTATCCCCTGTGCATTCGTGCTAGAACATGGAACCCACTGTGGGAGCTTTGCCAAAGCTGGAGAAAGGGTAAGGGAGAGAAGGGATCAGAGGAGGTGAATGGATTTGGGGCCAACAGGAGAACTAGGAGGAGGGAGGGAATGTTGTTGGATGTTGGATGTAGGCTGGATATCTGGAACAACTTCCTCACAATCAGATCTATCCCAGAGTGGAAGGGAAGTGGAACCTGTAAAGGTAGTGAGCTCCTTATCCTTGGAAGTCTCCAAGCAGACCTTGGATGACCCCTTGTTGTGGATGTTGCAGGTGTGGGTATTATTGCTCAGATACTGGTCAGAATTCGAGGATACTGAGGTTCCTTCTAATACTGAAATTTTATGATTCTTTGAGGAGGGAGAGTGTAAAGAACATTGGGCTTTTGTCTATTACAGTTCAAGGACCCTAACCCTCCCTTTCTCCCATAGACCTTGGACCCCTTCACCCTTCTTCCCCTCGTGCCTTTACTGCATTTCACCACATAATCATTGCAGATTTTATAAAAACTGGGGTGTGACCATTATATGAAACTTAAAAATTTTTTTTGTGCTGGTATTATGTGTCTTTTAATTTCCACCAGTCTTGCCCCAAAATTTCACTTACTGAAAGCTGTCTTTCCGCAGCTCTGTTTCCATGCTGTTCAGCAAACACAATCACTTTCAGCTTGAAAC